AACCCGCACAGCGCACGGCGACTGATCAGGAGACCGAAGGGTCTACTACTGCGGCCACCGCTGCTGCCTGGAGTTTCGGTAGTTTCAATAACATATTCACAATATATTTTCAGACTTCACAATCAAGTTTTAGGCCCTTACACCTTTTCGGCATTGGCTGGAATGTAAATTGGAAGGAGCAGTAGTGAAGAGTATGCCACCAGTGAGGAAGAATGAGAGAATGAGCAAAAATTTCGATAATGAGATTATGTTTTTTTGAGGTTACATGATGTACATTACATTACACTTATTCCCCTCAGCCTCTCTGTCTGTCTGTATGTCCGCTAATCCGAGGCTCATCTATAACTTGGAATGTACTGATCAGATTTTGGTGAAATGTTCACGCAATCTTACTACGCTAAGGATGAAAAAGCGTTTTAGTTTTTGAAAATCGGTCTAGTCGTGGCGGAGCTAACGGAAAAGATGAAGAAAATCCATCGAAAATCGTTTTTGGAAAGGTCAAATGCTCAAGATCATTCTCAGAGATTTTTTTTGAGAAGCTGAAAAGTGGAGGTAGGTGAGGGTATATCGCGACCTTTTGGCGATACTATATTTATAAGCTTTTTTCTCAGGGGCTGTAACTTGAGCCGAACATAATTCTTTATGAACCGATGACAGCATTTTGTGGGAAGTGCAAAGTCAACCTACTTGACGCAATTTTTTAAAATGGTTTATGCGTCATCAAGAATCATGTTTACCAACATATCATTTTAAAGCTATTATTATAGGGGGTCTGAAAAGAGAGCAATATTGCGCGGGACTTAGTCCATTTCTGGTGACTTAAATTAACTTCATTGTTTTTTATATACTAGCCTGTGAGGACTTTGTGCTGTTACAACTAAATTGGAATATACAGGGTGACTTTGAAGTTGAGTCATTAATTTTCAGATAATGATTGTAGAAGGAAGATAAACCAAAATATGTGTGTAAAAATAAAAAAAATTAAAAAAAAATCACCTTGTTTTATAAAGTATCCTCCCAACAAGTATTTCAGTGCGGACCTGTATTTGATCGTGAGGTCTTGGAGCACCGGCATGCCCTCTCCTGTGAGATCTTAAGTCACCTGATTCACGAGCCCGTTGTACTACATTAACAAAGGCACGAGGGGTTGGTTGCACTCGATTGGGAAACCGATCCGCATAAACATGTGCCATTTTTTATTTCGTTTGAGCCACGCAGCAAACACCACTATTCACTCACGCGTTACCGACTGACACATCGACTGAATAAAAACATCGTGATCAGCGTTTCAAATTCTTTCGCTTTTTTGTTTCCGATGGGATGAACCGATAAGGCGGATTATATCCGTTGTTGCCAAACACGAGCACATAATATTATTATTGAGACAGGGCGGTACTCAAACTTCTAAAGGGCTATAACTTTGTTACTTTAATTTTACCACAAAAATGTTAAAGAAAAAAACATTTCTTTTGATCATATCTACTCACTGTTAAAATAAATGACTCAACTTCGAAGTCACCCTGTATAGTATGAATACAAGGGAAACGTTATTAAAGAAAATAGCCCTAAACTAAGTCCTACGAAAACTGTTTCTTTCAATATTCTTTGATTAACACATTCAGAACTTCCGAGTTGCAGCTTTCTCATTTTACTCTGAGTCATCGAACTTTTTTAACACAATACGTAAACAGTATGTACGTATATATTCTATGACCGAGTCTTGAGTTAGAAAACAAAACTACATTTTGCGACTTATTTCATTGTCCAATTTCTCTTTCTTTCCCACATTACTTTATATCGTTGACAACCCTAATGAAAAACACGGTTCATAAACGCTTTCCTGGACAACTCTACAACTGCACCTAACATCTCCCGTATCGCAAACAAAAGGTAGAACAGTCAGTTTCGTTGCATTATTATACAGAGCTTGAAAATTATGTTATTTCTTCTATTATAAAGGATTACTTCCGAGAGGTATATTAAAATGACACAACAATTGGTATTTAAGAAGTTATATTTTATATATACAATGTGAAATATCTCATATACAAGTTCTAAACGGCGCTTAACACTATTATAATACAAGGTACTTAACATTAACGCTCTGTTTGCACAAACCCAGCATGTATCGTTGACAGGTCATTGGTAAATGTCAATATTACATATACTCAGCGCACACTATGGCTATTGATAGATTGAATATGTACAGCTTTGGTATGGCACATATAGTACAAGAGATAATTACGTCTTTAAGGTATGCATCCACAGCTCCGCATCATACGCATTGGACTGGGTTTTAAAACTATTTGTAATGAATAAAGCATTAGACTATTACAGCACACATTTCGCTAGCGTGGTTTGGGGGTTGCAGGCTCGTAGGATACTATACAGGATGTTCTGTACTTGAGTGGACAGAGTGAAACAGAAATATTTTCATATCCATGAATAAAAAAGTTTAAAATTCAGTTTTTATGGATTTATACTTCAGATTCTTAATATCACATATTTCAGGCACCATTGAACCGTTGAAATTTTGCACGATAACAAAGTTACCTGGGTGTAGCATAAAACTAGACAGAATATTAAAAAATCCAGGTCCGGACTCGGCTTTTCACTTTTGTTATTTTTTTAACAGAATCAACACCTTTTAAGCAGAAATTTTTGAATATGTACAAAAGCAAAATAGATTGATTGCGCCTCTTTTGGTTTTTTACTTAAACATTTTTATTTATTCTGATATCTTGTTTTCAGAAGCTTATGAGATACAAAATTCAAAATTTCAACTCGTTTCCAACAAGAGATTAAAAATAGCATTTAGTATGCAAATGCACTGAATTTAACTTTAAAGACCAATTCGAGATTATGACGAGGATGTAGAAATACCTTAATATACAGCATTTTCAGCATATTTACGTTTACGTGTCCGCATAAGAAGCCTACGTTAGGTTTAGTTACATCACACAATTAACTGTGGATTATTAACTTAATTTTTGGAACATCAAATTTAGTGAAATTACATGTTAAATGCCGTTTCTCCTTTAAGCAGATCTCTTGTTGCTAAAGAATGTCACTTGGTCGAATCATAGAAAAAATACTGAAAAAGGTAAACAGGGTGCATAACATTCATTTTCCTTTTTATTTATATCATGTCTTGCTCTATTGTCTGCGAAATAATATTCAATTCTGGGTATAATTTACAGGACGTTCCACTTGATAAAATATAAGGAAATAAGACAAACTGTATCTGACTCTGGAATTTTGAGTTCCCAAAACAACTTTGCTTCAATTTTGAGCATAACTTTGTGGAATTTTGAGTTTTGTGTCACAAAAACTACTAAAAACCAGATATTTGATAACGACAAATTTTTCATAAAAAAACTAAGAGAGGCGCAATCAAACATGGTATTCAGGTTAAAAGGTGTTGATTTTGATAAAAAAATAATACAGTGGAAATAACGTGCTCCGACTCTTGATTTTCCACCTGCCCGTCTAGTTTTACGCTACTCCTAGTTCAATAGTGCCTGAGATATGTGATTTGGCGTGTAAGTTCGTTAAGCTGAATTTACAACTTTTTAATTTACATATGAAAGTTGTACCTACCATTTTACCAAGTCCATTTGAGTACGGAACACCCTGTATGGAGTATAGGCACAGATTATATAATTGCGACACCTGCTGTCGGTCCCTTAGATCTTCGTGTCCCCCAACAGTTTACCACATGTCGCGCTTATGTTCATTAGCGTCCGGAGGATGTTTTTCTAGAGGTTATTACGCGTGATTTGCCTGACATCACGAATGTCTTATGTCAAGCTACAGAACAAAGACATTTGTGTTTATTATTAGTAATGCTCTGTGGTATAGGCACAGAGTACTACCAGAGGCGACAGCGTGTGAAGAACCAAGTTCTATCAACGACAACTTGAGTCTTATGCGTTTGGAAGGATTTCAAAGGTTGTCAACTATTGCTGTGATGTGAAGGGAGATTCGATTTACTTACCTCTACAATTGTTCGAAACATTCTATGAAGAGCTCTTAAAACATTACCTTGCCTAAATGCATCTAAGCAAATGATAAATTTCTTGATTCTATAGTTTGACGTATCACATTCATGACGTCTGACTAATGGAGCGTTAAAGACCCCTGGAAAAAATGCCTCCGGACGCCCATGGAATTAGGGAGTGAACGCGTCAGACAGCTGGGATCAAATGGACCGATAGTAGTAACACCTATATAATTTATGGTATACTCGTAGGTACATTTGAAACAACGCGTCACGAAGGAAATATGATCGAGCATAATGCATATATCAGCTTGTCGGCCCATCAACGCACATGTACAGGGTCAGTGCTCGGTGGCGGATCCAGGGGAGTGTCCCGGATGTATGGACCCTCCCCCAAAATATCCGAGTTAAAAAAAACTGGTGTTTTTCAATTTGTGGACAACCTCCTCCTCGCTCTTTAGTTTTCAAACTCCGCGAGAAGTGCATCTTCCTGTTCATAAATCCTGAGCCCCCCCCCCATCCCACAACACAATTTCAAATTCAAAATATTATTATTAGCCTCTGTCAGTACTCAGAATTTCTGATCTGAGAGATGCATATGCTGTCCATGAGCCGAAAAGGATTCGATAAGGTGTGCAAATCAATCAGGAGCCGTGCGACAGATTGCCGTCAATGCACACTGAACACTACCACAAATCAATCCATTTATCCTGGATCATCCAATGCGTACGATGCGGCACTAGGCACACATACCTCAAGTCATTATGCTAGAATCATATTTTCACTTTCTTTGGCTTGATCAGAATATGTACATAGATATGGTAACAACAAACCGGCTTTTGAAGTACTTTACTTCACCGTGAAACCTTTTGGTTTTGAATGGAAAATACATGCACGTACCCAATTCCACAAATGGTCTCGCTGTAAAAAAACTATCTACACCACTTCTCCTGGTGATATTTTGAGCCATTACGTGATCTGCCTGGTTCACGAGCCCAGGCTATGCCCATGATTGGCAAGATGGAAGTACGGCGCGTAACCTCCTGATCCAGTGGCTTGGTGAAGGGGGTAGACGCCACCGTACGGTACGTGATGGGAATACATGAGTCCAGAGTGCGCGTGGTGTCCTGGAAAGCCAGGGAAACTCCCCCCGTTGGTCACTGATGCTGGAGGCGAAATGGGCGAGTTGACGTCCATGCCGGGATTCTGCTTTTTCCATTTGGTACGCCGATTCTGGAACCAGATCTTCACTTGCGTCTCTGTTAGGCTGAGGGAGAGTGCGAGGTTCAGCCGTTCGCATACGCTGAGGTATCTGAAATAACAATAATAATATTACGGTAAAATGATCCATCCTAAATGCATCTGAGCACTGATATGATACGATTTTGGAGGCCTCTTCACAATTGTTCTAGCCAGGCCAAAACACTGTCAATGCTCCAGGCAAAACTGCATATGAAAATTGCCCCAAAGTTATCCAAATCTGAATCTATTCAAAAACGTATACTTTCGAAAACTTGTAGAACTTGTAGATTGAGATGTAGTCTCAAGTCTTTATTTGAATTTTTGGCCAGCTAATGAAATTTTCACACCTTAAAAATCCACGAAACATCTGTGCTTTATTGCCTTCCTTTTAGTTAAAAATCGTCAAAAGTCGGAAAAATACATTCTCACCGGAATTCTTAAATTGTTTTACATTTTAAACGTAACATATCACCAGTTGGCTAGACAGAAAACATTTTATTTGTCTCCCGGAAAATTGAGAAAATACGAGAACTACATTTTCGCTGATATTCTTCAATTTTTGACGGTCTCAGCCAGGTAAGAAATACTTGGCTAGTAAAGTTATCCATTATATATACGTACCGTTTGACGTACCTTTTGATTCCATTGTCAAAACAGTGATTTCTTGGAAAGTCGCCAAAAATTTTAAAACCTCATTTTCATCGATTTTTGACATTCTAAACTTATAATATCATAAGTTGGCTAACTTAAAAAACCAACTTATATATGCACTTTTGTCCATTCTTACAGGATCCAAAATTGCGAAAGAAGGAGATTTTCTTAAATTTTTGCATTTTCTGACAGGAAAGCAATGCTTACTTAACGCTGTAACCCATTATACAGGGTGTCCCAGAAGTCGACGTCAAGCCGAAACCGGGTGATAGGCAAAGTCATAACAGCTATCAGAAAAATATTTAAAAAAATTTTATGTATGTGTTTTGAAAATTATAGGTCTTTGGAAAAAATAAAGAAATTTCACACCCTACGGCAGTCTGTCAACTCCTGTTACTACAAATATTAACTTTTTTTGGATTTTATTTTTACAATATAATGATGAATAATGCATCTTCAAACTGATGTCTCAACCTTACTGCCAACTTTGCTCGTTCAGGAAAAATTGCCACTTACTTCCCAACCAAGTATTCCAAAGTAAAACTTTGCTCAACTTTAACTGGCTGTACTGGAAAAAAATGTACTACGAGAGTTTGGCAAGTAACCTTAAAAGTTGGCGCATTTAATAAGGATTCCAAAATGGTATAACACTTAGAAGATGACTCGTTAACTTATGCACAATTTTTATTTGAAGAAAAACTGATGAAAATTTTTCAAAATTTCCTAATTAAACAGCGATTATGAAAACGCACAAGGGCCCTTAAGGATAATTGTTTGCATAACAGTGGGCGTCAAAATGCTGCTGATGATGATTTACCTTTACAGCAAATGCGCAAACTGTTTTCCTTCAGCCGCAATACACGCTCTACATCTTCTTAAAAAAGATCGGGTTATTAAACGAGCGAATCCACGGTTATTAACAAACTCAGCTGCTTCCAATAGTCTTTGCCGTAGGTCAGCTACATTTTGAATCGGCTTGAAATACACTTTTTTTTTACAGTTCCCCAGTAACAAAAATCTAACGGATTCAAATCTGGTGACCGGGCTGGCCACGGTATTGTACCAGACCGCCCTATCCATCTGCCTGGAAAGTTTTGATCGAGATACTCTCTCACTGAGAGTGCATAGTGCGCTGGGTAGCCATCATGCTGAAACCACATGTCCCTGTAAATACTCAGTGGCACGTCCTCCAATAAATTTTCTAAATGATTTTGCAAAAAACCTAAATAAACCTCAGCAGTCAAAGTCTCTGGGAACCCAAACGGATCGATTATTTTACCATTTAAAATTCCTGTCCAATGGTTTATCTTGAAGCGATATTGAGATTTATCTTCTCTCATTAAATGTGGGTTTGCTACTTGCCACTCGTGTAAGTTATGCAGGTTCATGTACCCATCTTTCTTAAATGTGGTCTCATCTGACCATACAATTTTTTCAAAGAACCGTGGATCTTCCCTGTGTCTTTCTAACATTGTGCGACAAAAAGCAACTCGGGGCTCATAATCCCGGGGCAGAAGAGCTTGAACACGCTGTACGTGGTATGGATGGAGCACGTTTTTTTTGCAAGATTCTATGGGCTGTACTTTTGGGCACACCTGTTTTCAGTTCTATTGCACGCACTGAAGTACTCGGGTTTTCTTCGACAGCTCCTAGCACCAGGTCTTCGTAAGGAAGGAAAGATCTTCCCTCACCGTGTGATTGGTTTGGTAGTTGTCCCTCTGAGAACAGTAAGCGGTGCACATTTGTGAACACTCGATGATCTGGATGACGAGCTGCATTCGGGTACCTCTCACAGTAAAGTCTCGCTGCAGCACTAGCGTTGCATCTGCATTCCCCATAAATGAGGTGCATGTTAGCATATTCTTGTACGGTGTACACGGACATAGCGGCACTGCACAATCACACTATCAAAGATAGTCTAAGGAAAGCAAATGTTGTTTTGAAGAGCAATTAAACAGTCCAAATCCAAATCACAAGCGATCAACAGTCCAGTTCACGAATCCAAAATTAGTAACAGTACGAAATCAACAAGCACGAACATGTAAAGATGCGCAGTAAACGAAGGAGTACTGATCGGTATCAAAGTGTGCAATAGCAAGTAAGTGATGTGCTTCATCCATACCACATACAGCGTGTTCAACCTCTCCTGCCCCGGGATTATGAGCCCCGAGTTGCTTTTTGTCGCACAATGTTAGAAAGACACAGGAAAGATCCACAGTTCTTTGAAAAAATTTTGTGGTCGGATGAGACCACATTTAAGAAAGATGGGTACATGAACCTGCTTAACTTACACGAGTGGCACGTAGCAAACCCACATTTGATGAGAGAAGATAAATCTCAATATCGCTTCAAGATAAACCATTGGACAGGAATTTTAAATGGTAAAATAATCGGTCCGTTTGAGTTCCCAGAGACTTTGACTGCTGAAGTTTATTTGGATTTTTTGAAAAATCATGTACAAAATTTATTGGAGGACGTGCCACTGAATATTTACAGGGACATGTGTTTTCAGCATGATGGCTGCCCAGCACTATGCACTCTCAGTGAGAGAGTATCTCGATCAAAACTTTCCAGGCAGATGGATAAGGCGGTCTGGTACAATACCGTGGCCAGCCCGATCACCTGATTTGAATCCTTTAGATTTTTTTACTGGGGAACTGTAAAAGAAAAAGTGTATTTCAAGCCGATTCAAAATGTAGCTGAGCTACGGCAAAGACTATTGGAAGCAGGTGAGTTTGTTAATAACCGTGGATTCGCTCGTTTAATAACCCGATCTTTTTTAAGAAGATGTCGAGCGTGTATTGCGGCTGAAGGAAAACAGTTTGAGCATTTGCTGTAAAGGTAAATAATTATCAGCAGCATTTTGACGCCCACTGTTGTGCAAACAATTATCCTTAAGGGTCCTTGTGCGTTTTCATAATCGCTGTTTAATTAGGAAATTTTGAAAAATTTTCATCATTTTTTTTTCAAATAAAAATTGTGCATAAGTTAACGAGTAATCTTCTAAGTGTTATACCATTTTGGAATCGTTATTAAATGCGCCAACTTTTAAGGTTACTTGCCAAACTCTCGTAGTACATTTTTTTCCAGTACAGCCAGTTAAAGTTGAGCAAAGTTTTACTTTGGAATACTTGGTTGGGAAATAAGTGGCAATCTTTCCTGAACGAGAAAATTTGGCAGTAAGGTTGAGACACCAGTTTGAAGATGCATTATTCATCATTACATTGTAAAAATAAAATCCCAAAAAAGTTAATATTTGTAGTAACAGGAGTTGACAGACTGCCGTAGGGTGTGAAATTTCTATATTTTTTTCAAAGACCTATAATTTTCAAAACACATACATAAATTTTTTTTAAATATTTTTCTGATAGCTGTTATGACTTTGCCTATCACCCGGTTTGACGTCGACCTCTGGGACACCCATATGTTACATGAGTTTTTTACGTTTTTTCCAGCTCTGTTGTCAAAATGATGATTTGTTGTCCGGAGATTCGCCAAAAAGCAAAAAAACACAGTTTCACCGATGTTTCCAACTATAAACATAACTTGGATGATCGCGAACTCTTAAACTCATTCCACTCATATGTGTATAGTAATTCAGTTACCCAAGCATTCCTTTACTAACCCAAAATATCAAAAATTGTAGAAAATCATCGAAAATACGGTTTTTGGTTTTTTCACAATTTTCTGGACCACAAATCACAATTTTGATAATGATATCCTACCTTGAAAATGTTAAATTGAATTTTGGCAACTTTCCGGACAAAAGATCATGATTTGGACCACGGAACTGAAAAAAGTAAAAAACCATTATTGACCAAAAACCTGAAAAGTTGTAGAACATCAGCGAAATTACGGTTGTATTATTTTCGCAATTTTCTGTGGAATGCATCACAACTTTGACAATTAAACCTGAAAGAATGCACAATAATCCATACGCACATCAAAGCTTTTGAGTTAGCAAAGTTATGATGTCTTATTCTTGAAATACTTAGAGTTGAAAAAATCGGTGAAAATTCCGTTTTCAGACTTTTGCTAATTTTCCGGACAAGAAATTATATTCTAACAACGGAATAAACGTGAAGAAATAAATACACGAAATGAGTTACACACTAAGTTAGCCAACTATTCCTTTCCTGACGAAGAGCATCAAAAATTGAAGAAAACCAGCCAAAAATTCAGTTTTTTCATATTCTCTCAATTTTCCGGGAAACAACTCAAATTTTGATTGTGGAACTTAAAAGAATGGACAAACATACATATATAAGTTGGTCACCTTCTATTATGTTTGAAATGTCAAAAATTTGTGAATGTGCTGTTTTTTAATTTTCTTCGATTGTCTGGGCTTAAAACTTTTATGATTTTGATAGTTTATCTGGGAGGAACACAAGGAAGCACTGACATACGGTGCATTAAGTTCGAGATTCTCATTACCTACCTAGAAAAATGAATTAATTTTTTTTTCTCGAACCTATAGGTTGTAAAAGTCTATAAAAAATCACTGTTATGTAGTATGTAGTAATGTATTAATGTAGTATTGATATTTTTATCAAATTTGAGGTTTTGGCTTAATTTGTATAGATCCAAATTGGGGTACCTTTGGGAGCAATTAACATATGTAGATGTACCTATAGCCTTTGTAATATGTACAATCAGCAGAGCCAAAATATACAATAATTTTCAGGCTATAGTGAAGTTTGACATAGAAAATTGTATACCTTAAATGTGTAAAAAGTAACCAGTCCCGCCAGTGGGTAGACATTTATAACAGGCTTGTATATCTTAATCAGAAATGTTCGGAACTATGTTTATAGGAAATTTTTGTTATTGTGGTAAGTCCTTTTAAGCTTTGGAGCAATTACCAGTATTTTTGCACCATCCATCACATTTTTTAGTACTTTTTCAACTATTATAGATAAACAAGCAGCCGACATATGTACATTTTGTTATGAGGATTAATAAAGTCTTACAAAATACGCTACGCTTTTATGGAATCCCATTCATTGAATAGAATTTGGAATATAAGCATAAGTACACTTTGGCAAATCTAGCTTGAGTTATAAAACGAATTGACGAGAGGGAGGTCGGTTCAGCAGGAAAATATCTGAAAAAGAAGTGCTCTGATGCCGAAAGACCTAGTAAATTTGGCAAAACTATATTTACCAAGAATAGCGATCTTTAAAGTTGCTTACCTCGTCGTTTTAAATTTATTTTCTAAGGCAACCAGTTGTTCATAGGTGAAGGCAGTCCGCGCTCGTCTGGGCTTCCCCGCATTTTGCGATTTCGAATCCCCTTTTTTCTTTTTTGACGGATCTTTCAGGTCTTCGCTTATATCACTGTTCATGTCATCATCATCATCTGACTGACGATCCTTCCCTATAACAAAGAAAAACCATCTTAACTCCTAAGAAATAAAAAGTAACACGAGTACAATGGGAGTACGTAAAAGTGTCATTACCGGACGACCATTTAGCGGCAGCTAAGGACTTTTTTATCCAACTGCCTGTTTGGAGCAGTATTCTAATTTCATGGTGTTTATAGACATCACGTTTCACCACACATTAGCTTTGGTATATCAAGCGTAGTTGTGTCTAAAAAGGAAAACCCCAACTTTGCGGACACCCTGTATATTTGCCGAAGACCGACTTCACATGCCTTGATACTGTCTGGTGTCTAGAGGCATACCTATAAAGTACTATCATATCTTCCCACTGTATTTTTATTCCAGGCTGCTAATATTTTGCTAAGGACCAAAATTAATTTTGACAGTTGAAGTCATATGTTGAGTTGTCATTGCCTTTCTCTCAACTGTACTATCGATCTACCACGCCATAGTGTATAGTAATTAGCAACACACTATCCATATAACGTGTATATAAATTAATGAAGGAAGGTGTTTGCTATAAATTATTAACGTAATTAGGTAATAATACGCGTTTATAAATTCTATTAATATTTAGATGTTGATACAGTGTAGACGCATGGGTGCCGGCAGCAAAACACCTAGGAGGATCTGTGCGTGATTGTGTTTTGCGCTGTATCTGGTCAATAATTAAGACGACATATCGTCGCTTAAATTCCGACAACGCCTAACTCGGAATTTGCAATAATAATACAAAATAACAGATCCATTTGCTAAATTTGATGGAACATTTAACATTGGATATTGATATGTGACAAGCTTATGAGAGCTTTAGAAGAACCATGTTCAATAACAAAAATGCTCAATTCTTCCTGGAGTGAAGCGCCACTAAATAAATTACTGCTAAACAAAAAATACATTTTGATGATGATGTTCTGGGCCCCGAGCTTTTAAATCTATGTCGCCTTAATAAACATCAAGCTTGTAACTTCCATAACTATCAAAATATTTAATAGTCTTCATCAGAGTCATCTGAGCTTTCTCTCCAGTGAATGATTATATTAGTCTCCTTCCTATTAAATACTTGATGCTTGTCCCAGTCGTTTTTAATCAAGTGCTTGGTATGTTTTACACTCTTGGCCCAAATTGTAGGAGTCATCTTCGCTAGAGTAACGTCCCCAGCTTTCAAAACTTGCTTGTCACCATAGCCATTTTCCCCAAAATGACGATCATAGTACTGTTTGGCTATTCCCCAGGCTAACTCAAGAGGGCTGTATTGACAATGTTCATGTAATATTTCGTCTATGATATATCTTGGAGTCGATGGCTTATTAAGGTGACATAGATTTAAAAGCTCGAGCTTAAAAGCATCAGCATCATAATGTATCTTTTTTGTCTTGCAGCCATTGCTTCAATTGCATTGTACTCCAACTGGGATTGGGATTTTTTCTGTTAAGGCACTATGATAAGGGGCGTTATCCATGATTACTAAAGATGGCTCTTGTAAAGCTGGTATCAGCTTCTCACATACTCATTTTTTGAAAGAATCTTTGCAAATGGAATCGTTGTAATCAGCACTTCTATTTTGTTGCAAGCAACAATGCAGTATCTATCCAGAAACCGTTTTTGGTGCCAGCATGGAGAACGACATAATATCTGATTTTATTCGCTGAACACTGCGTAGACCGCTGTCTTCATTCGCTTCCTGGAAATAATCTCATAAACTTAGCAGAAGCTGTCGGCCTTCTCCATTGATCGTATTTCAAGACATTGTACAATTCTATATTGAAAATTGATAACAGGACAGCTCAAATTGCACGCCGATGTCAAGTAAGTTGTTGACAAATATGACTGAAGGGCACTCATACATAACGACAACGTTTTCGAGTCATAGACACACAACTAAAAAACGTATATCTTTGAGCTTATCGAACAAACGTTCACACAGAGGGGTAGGTTGCATGTGTATGTATGAGGGAAATGGAGATATACAGGGTGACTCCGAAGTTGAGTCATTTATTTTAACAGTGAGTAGATCTGATCAAAAGAAATGTTTTTTTCCTTTACCATCTTTCTGGTAAAATTAAAGTAACAAAGTTATAGCCCTTTGGAAGTTTGAGTACCGCCCTGTCTCAATAATAATATCATGTGCTCGTGTTTGGCAACAACGGATATAATCCGCCTTATCGGTTCATCGCATCGGAAACAAAAAAGCGAAAGAATTTGGAACGATGTTTTTACAATTATTTTATTCAGTTCAGTTATACATACAGTCAGTGTCAGTCGGTGTTCGCGTGTGAATAGTGTCTGTTGCGTGGCTCAAACCAAATAAAAAATGGCACATGTTTATGCGGATCGGTTTCCCAATCGAGTGCAGCCAACCCCTCGTGCCTTTGTTAATGTAGTACAACGGGCTCGTGAATCAGGTGACTTAAGACCTCACAGGGGACCTCACGATCAAATACAGGTCCGCACTGAAATACTTGTCGGGAGGATACTTTATAAAACAAGGTAAAACATTTTATTTATTTTTTTTTTATTTTTACACATATATTTTGGTTTATCTTCCTTCTACAATCATTATCTGAAAATTAATGACTCAACTTCAAAGTCACCCTGTATATCAAAGGACACTGGTAGTCTCACTTTGACCCGCCAAGAACGGTGACTCCAACTATACCAACTAAAAGTTTTTTTAATTGTGTACCTGTATTTATACGCATTCATTTTCTATTTGATGAATTCAATACAAATTCTAATTTGTCTGATCGATTACGAAGACATTTGATTTGATTTTCGATTGGAGCGCAGAAACGTTGACACGATTGTCACTCATATAATTTGCACTAGGAATATCATTTACCCATATAGTGCCGCTAACGTAACGCTAAAAGTGCGTGCCAATTAACGACCCTTATTGGAATTATCGACAGTGTTAATAATGGCTTGATGACAATTTTTGTTCAGATTTTTATGCTTTCTATTTTTCGTCCAAATGGATTAACGCTTTCACTGGTTACCCCGGCTAGGGTTACCCTTGTTACTAAAAATGCCAACAGTGTTATTTATCTGTTTCTGTGTTTTACCAGAAGCCGAAGGTTGAACTAATATTTTTATGTACTGACGCTTAGGTCATTGTGCAAAGTAAAAAAATAACAAAGACAATAAATATATAATATAGGCATTGGAACAGTTTTGGATGGATCCTCTCTATTTTGAGAAAAAAAAAATAGCACTGTGTGGGATGGAATACCTGATTGTTAATGTTTTAAAACAAACCTAGCACAAAAAAGATATTTATATAGATATGACACGCTCCACTTTGTCATCGAAAAAACTCCGACCTTCTCTAGAACAAAATTTTGCCAAACAGTAGGTCACCCTGTATATGACAATAAATTGAAAAAGGCCACCAATGTAACTGAAGCGCCAGTAAATGTTTTAACTTTGCCTCTATGATTTTACTTGAGATTCAGTGAAACATAGATATTGGTCAGCGAGACAATCACAGGATAAGTTTTCGGAGTTGCATTAGTGTTATCTATTTTTCGATGGATTGCATTTGAACCCTTCTTTGCCCTTTATCGACGCCCATGGTTGCACAGTGAAATTAGGAGTGTGTATATTAATTGCAGTAATCGTGATTAGCCATTTTGCCTCGATCAGAACCTGCCACGATTAGAAGGTACTTATTGAACCGATATAATGCCACAGCGCTGTTAATTAGCTTCGATTTTACATTATCGCACAACGCGTGCCGCTATCATTCAATTCGGTGAACTAATCAGTCAGAATCAATGCTACACTGAACAATGATCGGTCATGTAGATAATTGTCGAAGGAATGTTTAATTTTTCGGTAGAGAATGATTTATGGTATACCTATATAGTCGTGCTTTTCAGTCCGTTAATAATAATCTATATATAACATATATAAAAATGAATCCCTATTTCGCGTGGTCACGCCATAACTTGAGACCGACTTCATTCATCTTTTTTTTTAAAGTTTCCTAATGCTGTATAGAAGGCTCTTACGGGAAGACAAATTAATAAAATTGCGCAGAAAATTGAGAAATCATTGAAAAACTAACGATTATTTAAGCTACGCGCGTTTGACAGTTTGCTTGAGCATAGAGCACGCACAGCAGAGGAAATATCTCAAGTACCAAAAGAGACAGGCAATCCTCTCCGCTATCTTTATTCCAAGTTATTGACAGTTAGCTGTGTGAGAGAAAATTGCTTATGAAAACACGTTTTTGGACTTCGATTGCTTTACCATCCGTACTCTGTGATGGCGCTTTCAAAAGAAACTGCAATGTTTCCTAATTGTTATCTTTGTCAATTAATTCTATTAATAAAAATGGAGGATGAAAATACGTTGTTTTTTCTTAATTGACTTATAGTACTCTTTCATTTTGAAATTGACAGCTCGCACGACGCAAATTGATTATTTCGGATCAATAAATGTTGTGTGTCCACATTGCAAGGCTTTCAAGTTTAAAAATGAAGCCCTTGGATTAAGTTCTGTTAGTTAACCACCACCAGACCCACTCCATTCATTGGTTTCCAGAAACAAATTGACACTAGAATTTAGATATAGCAAATTAATTTTGTGAATATTTTTCAAAAATCGGGAAAAGGTTGTCAGAAAATATAAAAAACGCGGAAAAATTAAATTATAGTAAGACCAGATTATATAACTTATTATATCTGGAAACGACCGATACGCATGAAATAAAGACAATAAAAAATGAATTAAAATTAAGAAAATCTCCAGGTCTAGATAATATAACAGCATATGCTCTCAAGATGATAAATTCCAACATCTGGGGCATACTGTCTTATTTGATAAATTCTTGTATGAATAAAGGAATATTCCCTATATGTTTAAAACACGCTATGGTAAAACCATGATTTAAATCTGGAGAAAGAGAAAAACCCATCAACTATCGACCAATTTCCATCTTAACTAATTTTTATAAAATATTTGAAAAAGTGTTAAAAGAACGATTCAC